CTCTCTCTCTCTCACACATGTCACACACACGCACATACAAAAAGAGAGATCCTCAAGATGTCTGTTGTATTATTTTTTGATAAAGGTAACAGTATATTCATCAACACAAAGCTTGTATTGGAAATCACAATTACAGAAAAAAGGAAGAGACCTATTTACATCTGTCCAAGATTCTTCTTACAAGGACTCTAACAACTCTAATAAAGTTTCAGTTTCATCTACACAAAATTCTTTTCACCAAAAATAAAAGGACAAAATACAGTTGAGCTTAATTTTCTGTAAAGAACTCCTGTCTTCAAAACACCTATCATTTCTTTCCTTCCGGACATTCCACCAAATGCATGCTGGTATAGCCCTCCACCATCTCTTCTTCCTTCCCCGGCCACCTACATTGTTCCAGCACCTCAAAAGATCACAAGTAGTCCTGGGCAAGTGGGCACAGCCCAAGTTGTATTCACCAGTGCAAGGAATAACTGCCACAACTGAGATGTAATAACACAACGTAAAAAAAGGTGGCTGTTGTCTTCTTGCTCCGCTTAGCATAGGAAACATCTAGAGCTCAATAGTAGTCGTCTTCTTTGCAGATTCTCATGGGTAAGACGGGCCTTCTTGGCTACTAGCCATGTAAAACAGGATACATTAAAAGGAACTTTTACTTTCCAGATAAGTTTCCAAGGCCAGAAGCATTGTTGTCCAGGATTGCATAGAAGCTTGTAAGCCCCCTTGACTGAGAAACACTTGGTATTGTTCCCTTTCCAGATGATAGAGTCCTCTGCTTCAGATGTTGCTTTGAAAACCTCCAGAGCATTGAAAAATTCAGTCACTCTTACAATCTCCTAATCATTTAGTGCTCTTCTGAAGTTAAGATTCCATCCCTGTTGACTCCAAACTTCCTGTATTGTTGATTCAAGTTCTACCACCAGACGTTCCATCCCTCTCTGTTGTATTATTAAGCTACCGAGTTAACATTCTCCATAATTTGACGCTTGCCTTAGGTTCAAAGTAACCAATTGTGGGAAAAAGTGAATGAATCTAAAATAATGGATGAGTATGGCTTGAACAAGGCTGTTTATGCTCATGCCATGCAACGAGCCATGGAGGCTCTTGGCAAGGTTTTGGAGAGAAGACTGAATGATCAAGGGTATGCTCTGATTTCTGTTATATTAACCATTATTTTGTAACAAGCAGATGAAAATATATCATATTCTTTTTCATTAATGTTTCTTCATGTTTTGTCTAGAATTGAAGAGTTGAAATGTCCAGCTTTGCTGGTCCAACATTATACACCAATTTTCTGTCGCATCCAGCAGTGGCTTTTTGAGCATGCTTTGCTATTGGTTCCAGCTTGTGCATTGGTACTCCACAGTAAGAGCAGCCTTTGGAAGCTTATATTATAACCATCTAAACCTTGTTGACAATATTGGAATTTACAGCTGCTGGGATGCATTTTCATGCTGTTAAAACTCCGTCGGAGGTACTACTTGTCAGTTAGAGCTGAACAGATATATAATGAGGTATTTAACACCGTTTTCTTTCCTTGGAGAATCTATCCTGTGACATTGTTTGCTCTCAGTGTCAACTTGTGACAGGCTATACTAATTGAATATGATAGGCTTGTGATGTACTTGAAGAGAAGGCAGTGAATGCAAGAAGTATGACGGGCAAGCATGAACCTTGGGTGGTGGCATCACTGTTACGGGATCATCTTCTTTCACCGAAGGAAAGGAAGGATCCAATGTTATGGAAAAAGGTGCTAATGTCCTCCCTTCTTTTTAACATTTTTTGGTTCAGGGATGATACTATGCTTCCTACTTTTCCGATGCCTAGTTCAAATGCTTTCAGAGTGTAACAAAATAGTATATGGTTCTTGATTTGAAAAAACAAGACAGTAGAAGGTTCAATCTTTTCTATATCCATGTTTTGTAGGTTGAGCAGTTGGTTCAAGAAGATTCTCGTCTAGAGAGATACCCTAAGATGGTCAAAGGTGAAAGTAAAGTGGTATGGGAATGGCAAGGTATGGTAGTCACTTTACTGCCTTAATTTTGAGTTAAACACTTGTTGTTGTTGATCAATTCACCTTTTGGCTAACATGTTCTTTCTAAGCAGTTACTGGTTCTTTTTCCAGTTAAAAGTCAATTAGTTAACTGCAACGACATTTGCAGTTAAAACTTGATCCATGGAGCAAAGTTCACACAATTTCACGTTGAAAATGTCCATTTTAATAGAAACACATAATAGGAATTTTTGCTCCTATGGATGTCTTTTAGAAACACTTCTTTTCCTGTCGAGCAGTTGGAATTTACTATTAAGAAAACAGGTTTTTTCGCGCTGAATGGTGAACACCCCACTGATGATGTGGTAAAGTTGTTAATTGGTTTCTGAGTTTTCTTTTTACTTTTGTTGTTTTTCTTTTTTGACTTTTTCTCCTTCCTAAAGTTTTTGTAAAATATTTAGTTGCATCTCTTCCTCCTGCCATAGCAGTATGGTAAGTGGTAAAATGTCTATCACTTTTGAGACCTTGAGAGCCCAAATTCTAGGTAGCATTTTACAATGCATTAGAGGCGACTTATCATCAGAGGCTGTAAATGTTACCTGTGTTACAAAAGATCAGTTGGGAATTTGGGAAGAAAGTTTCAAGCCAGTGCATTAATGAGTGTAATAGATTGAGTCCTTACAAGAAAAAGAGAGTAATAGATTAAGAGATTTTCGATAGCAACTACTTACAAAGTAAGTTTGAGACTCCTTTTGGACTCTCTTAAATAGTTAACTAACTACATCATGAAGCAATATTATGGAGGTGTGATGCTGCCTCAAGGCAAGTGTGAATTGTATTTTGTTCACAAAGTATAGTCCTTCCCATAGCTTCACTTCCTACTATTTGACTTTGTGCGAGACTCTTATAATGGTTACCTCAATCGAGTGCTTCCTTTCTAAACTTTTCTGTTCTCAATAATATCCCTATATGACAATTTAAGACGCTGAAATTTAAAGACAAACATCAGCCACTTTGAACGAGGTATATCCCCTGCCTTGCTAAGGTAAAGGCGTAAAGCGCTTTTACCACATTTTAGGGGAAAAGAAAGAATATAAGACAACAATAGCATAAAAGTCTTTATTATTTGTCCCTCTCTCTGTCTTTCCTTATTTCTTGAATTTGACTTTAGTCTTTCTGTTTTTCTAGTTGAGGGTTCTTTAAGCTCTTCGGGTAAGAGGAAGAAGGCACAGGAAAGCAGGCTAGAGAGAGGTGAACGCGCAAATCTCTCCCCTCAGCAAAGGAGCTGGCTATTAAAGTCTGAGGAGCCTGTGAATTGCTGAGCTCTATCCTACGCTCTTGTTCGCGTGTTTTAAGTTGTTGTATAGTAGTACTTTTTATTGGCAAAATGCAGTTCCCAGTGTTGTACACTTAGGTCCATGATACACGTTTCAGAATAGCCTTGTAATCTGATTATTTAGTCTGGCCTTAACCATGTTAGTGTGCAACAGAGACGCAACAATTTTGGCTCTGATGGAATTCATGTGGGAGCTTCATAGCCCCTCTCTAATTGTACTTTCTTTACGTCACATTTCTGTCTAATTGTCCCAAAATGAACCTTGAATTTGATGGACTATTTTGTGAGCCAGCTCGACTTGTGATACTGCCGTCAAGATTCTTTTAGGATTATAAAGGTGAATATTGGGAAAGAAAATGGCATTGTCAAGTCATAAGAGCTATATTCGCAATGAAATTGGAAAAGCCTGAGAGCCAAATACTACTATAACAATAAGAGCCAAATACTACTATAACAATAACAAATCCAATGTAATTTCACAAAGTGGGATCTTGGGGAGGGGGAAGTAGAGTGTATGCAGTCCTTGCTCCTTTTTTGTGAAGGTAAGTAAAAGAAGTAGACACAACACATAGTAACATCAACAAGATATGGTAATAGAATAGTTGAAGCGAAAGGTGATATAGTAAAAGAAATCTACGGATAAAAAAGTATGAAATAAGAGATTAATACTGATGTTACCGACATGAAAATAAGATATTCCCGCCTATCTACTAACCCGAGAGCTAAATACAAGTCAAAATATACTAAAAATAATGACTTTATGGGACCAAATAGTGTCGGTAGAGTGTGAGACTTACTAATGCAATGGCACTTGATAGTATGTCATCTTCAGATCTGTCCCCCAACGGTCCATAATCAGTATTTCCTTTCTATTTTTCCATTTAAATTCTCCCTCCACCTAAGTCAATAAATAATGTCTTTTACGCGTACCCTTCATGTGATTTTATTTCAACACATTTGGATGTAATTAATAAACTGACCTTAATATATCTTGAGGTTTGCTTAAGATTAGTGTATTGAAAATATAGATTAGTTAACTATAAATGGAGAAGGGAATCTAAAGTAACCTTCCTACTAAATTCTTTATTCCTCCAAAGTAACATGCTGCATTATGCAGATCTACCTTAAATTCTTTTTAAGATGTACCTTTTTGTTGCATAACTTTTATTTCAAGTGGGAAAAAGGTTTGCTTTTTTTAGCTCATAGTTTTAGTTTTATTAATCATATTACCATTTCATTTTTTTAAAGCATAAACTTGGGTCTCTTGGGTCCATCTAAGCATCCAGATCTAAGATATATATAAGTATCAGAATATTATTATTACAGTTAGCTGCGGAAAATCCAACAGTCCATTTTTAGAAATAAACAAAAAATTGTTGTCGGTCACATTAAATAATTAAGCCATCTTCATCTGTGAATCTATTCATGTCATACACAAAATTGTCATAATAATTGTCCTCCCCAGTATAAAATGGTATTCTGGATCTTTTGGAAAACCAGCTGGGTTATGATGTAGACAGATGAATCAAGACCTTTTTTTTTTATATGGAAAAATAAATTTGAGATACTGTTGCATGCTTGTGTTATTTTTTCACAAATTACTTGAAATAAAACTAAATATGTAAAATATGTCTGCTACCAAATCAAGTTTAAAAGGTAAAGAGAAAGTTGCAATTCTCGGATATGCGCTTATGGCGTTCAAACAATCGACTTATTAGTAAAGTTAATTCCTCTGTCTAGAAGTGGTGATAAAATATATCGACCTTAAAATTTTATCTAACGAAAAATTTACAGATAATTCATTAAAATTTTGCATATCTCCCTTTTTTCAAAGTAAAAAAAATATTGAAAAAGGAAATATGAACTTGGTCCCTTTTTAATTATCCACTTGGCTGAAAATATGATCCCTACTTACATGCTTATAAAAAAAAAAAAGAAAAATAAAAAATAAAAAAAGAACAAGAGTCCTAACGCGGTCTCTCCACCTTTTCACACTGTACCCATTATTATTATTATTATTATCCACCCCCGGCTGGACTGTACTGAATCTCCTCATTTTTACTGCTCAAAAAGTTGAATGGGGAACTTCTCAATTCTGATCTTTAACTAATTACTTCTACTTCTAATCTACTCCATTGATTCATCCTCTTTAAAAAATCTATCTTTCTTTCAAAATACAGTGCATTTATAGCAGAGTATGTGTAGGCTGCTGCTTTCTGTTCCCTTCTATAATCATTAGAAAACCTTAGCTTCAGATCTCTCACTTGTCTACTGAGGACTGAGGGGAGCTCCTCTGCTTTCTTGGTAATGAACTAAAGTCTTGATCTTTTTATAATTTTACTGTTTTTGTACTTTGCTGCAATGGTTTTGGTTTTCTGTGTAGTAGTGATCCAAACTTTATTGTTTCAGCTTCTAGCTATTTGATGATGAAGTTTTCATTTTTTTTTTGTGTGTACCCTTTTTTTTTCTTTAAGTTTGTGGATCAATGAGTATGATTTTCTTTTGAACATTCCGAGATCTGTATTTTGTGATTTCTTGTTTCAGAGAATTCAGTTCATTACTAAAGTGTGTTAATTGCTTGATGCACTTTCTGCTCTATGTTGTTAGATTTGCTCTTTTTACCCCTTTTCTTAATGCTTTTCAAGCAGAAGTCAGAATTATGGTGATTTAGTCTTTATTGAGTTCTTTGATAATACAGTAACTTCATTGTGAATATTTGTCCCAAGGGATGTGTTATATGAAGTAAAGTGAAATAGTTAAAACTGATTTGTGTCCTAGTACGAAGACACTGAGTTCTTGTTATTTGATCAAGTTTTCATCCTTTTTTTTTGTGTACCCTTTTGTTTTCTTTAACTTTGTAGATCAATGGATATCATTTTCCTTGAAAAGGTTAACTTTCAGTTTTGCGAGATCTGTGTCTGGTGATTGCTTATTTGGAGAATTCAGTTAATTATTTGAATATGTTAGTTAATTGATGTGGAGGTTGAGGATTAGGGTAGAAGGTTAATGGGTGGCCGAGCGTTTCTCTTTGTCTTTATTAGTTCAACAGTATTAGTGTTAGTATGGCACCCCTTTATCCTTAGCTTGCTATTGTCGCATCTTGTACTGTTATTACTTGCCACAACTACTCCCTTAGTTTGCTCCCACTACATACCTTGTATTGTTGTTACTTGCTATCAATACTTCTTTCATAGTCCCTATTGCTATCTTGGTTTTAGTTTTCTAAATATATTGTCTTGCTATTACCTGCTATCAGTGCTTCTTTCGTATTTTATTTAGCCGAGGGTCTATCGGAAACAGTCTCTCTGCCCTTTCAGGGTAGGGGTAAGGCTGTGTACATCCTACCCTCCCCAGACCTCACTTGTGGGATTATACTGGGTTGTTGTTGTTGTTGTTGTATGTTAGTCAATTGATGCACTTACTCTCCTAAGTTGTAGTACAAAGATCTTTTTGTTAAATTCCCCCCNTGATGAAATCTTGACTCTTCAGTGTGAGTAGTCATTCCACTTGGCTGTTGTACTATCCACGAAATAAAGTGAGGAAGTTAAAGAAACATTTATGTTCTGATATAAAGGTTAAATCTTGACTATCTATAAATAAAACTATTAAGAATTCATCCATTTATGCAATTAGATTATATTAGGTCTCTTTGAGTTTGTGTCCTTTGAGAATTTCAGTCGAGCTGTTACTGTTCGGCTGTCAAGAACCAGTGAGTTGCCTGTATCATGAGACTTAGTGGATATGAAGCTACTGTTCTCTTGGCTTGAGATGATTATATGAAACTTACTTTTAGAAGAAAAGTATCTTTCGTATCCTGGAAATTGCTCGAAATTCTAACTTCTTTATGCCACAGGGAACTTCTGGTGCTGCCGCAAGCAGATAATGGCGTCCAAGTATCATGCACCAAGCAACAGAACACGACGGCCAATCTCTATATTGATTGTAATTGGCCTTTGCTGTTTCTTTTATCTAATAGGAGTTTGGCAGAAGAGTGGGTCCGGAAAGGGAGATAAATTAGCACTAGCAGTGACCGAGCAAACTGCTGACTGCAATATCTTTCCACCATCCACTCTGGATTTTGAATCACACCATAATTATGTGGAAATGATTGAATCTTCAGAACCAAAAACTAAAGTATACAAGTCATGTGATGCTAAATACACTGACTATACTCCCTGCCAAGAACAAGACCGAGCTATGACGTTCCCACGGGAAAATATGATATATAGAGAAAGGCATTGCCCTCCAGACGATGAAAAGCTTCGTTGTTTGATTCTAGCACCCAAAGGATACACAACTCCATTTCCATGGCCGAAAAGCCGTGATTATGCCTACTATGCTAATGTTCCTTACAAACACTTGACAGTTGAGAAGGCAGTCCAGAACTGGGTACAGTTTCAGGGAAACGTTTTCAAATTTCCAGGAGGGGGTACAATGTTTCCTAAAGGAGCAGATGCATATATTGATGAACTTGCATCTGTGATTCCAATTAAAAGTGGCATGATAAGAACTGCTCTTGACACTGGTTGTGGGGTATGTTTTCTCTTCCTTTTTTCCTCCTTTCCCTTAAAATTTTACTAGTAATTCCATTAAGAAAGCTATGTCCATGATGCTGATTATCTTTGGTGGTTATCTTTTATATAATGAAAGAGGAGAATTTACCTGATTCATGTTAAACAAGTTCTTGTCGATGAGCAAAACTGCATTACTAAGACCACTGTGTTCTTAACGGTAACACATATTTTAAAACCTCTGTTAACATAGTGATACTTGACTAGTTCTCATTTACTTGTGACAGTGCTATTTATAGTGGTTATGCCATTGAAAGCTTAAATGGGATATTTAATCGCTGCGGTCATTGAAGTGACTATCTAAATACTTTCCATTTACCTGTGAGAATACCCTCTTTCCTTGAAAGTTGCTGGAAAGGATACTATCCCAGTTGATTTACTACAGCGAATATTTGAAAATTCTGGAGTCTAATATAGCATACGGGTCATAAAAAGTAGTCTGTCCTTCACCATCTTTGATATACCTTGTAAAATCTTGTTTTCAGGTTTAAAAACTCAAAACTAATAAATAGTCAATCTCACTTGCCAGAATATCTGCAAGTTCTTCTCGTGCTGTTGTTGAGTCTTTTCCTGTTTTTAAGTAATCACATTCTACAAGAAAAAGGGTTTCTCTCTGCATTAATGCTTGTTATTATTCATCAAATATCATGCTTTTTTGAAGTACTCTGCATTAATGCTTGTTATTATTCATCAAATATC